GTGTATATGTGTGTATATATATATATATATATATATATATATATATATATATATATATATATATATATATATATATTTCTGTAGCATTTGTTAGCCTTTATTACTATAAGTCTTTGACTTGAATGATATAATCATGTCCATTAATCCCTTTTTTTTTTTACAAGCTTTAGAAGCATGTTTTTATGTCTAGTTATGAATTGGGTAGAGTTTTTTATTTTTTATTTTATTTTTTTAACATCAAGATTTCTCAGATCTCAGAGTCAGATCTATTCTGTATTATTTAGAGCACCCACCATCCCAGACTGCGGGTCAGAAGGACATAAGAGAAAGCGGGAGAGGTAGCCTGGCTGCCTGCCTGAACCAAATGATTCCTGCTCCTGCACTATTGTCTATGGAGGGGTGTGGAGAATAGAGCTGCCACACGCAGTGTTCATGAAGAGCAGAGATGCTACACACAGCAGAAAATGATGGCTATCACTATCAATTTTTTACACGCAGATAATACACAGTTCATAATGTTTCCACAATCACAAAACAACATAAGAGCTTTCATTTATTTGCCACCCATTTTCCTGTACTAGATCTAGAGTGTCAGGGCTATTTTCAACCAAACAGCAGTGTTGTATTTATATCGCAGAAGTCCTAGCAGCTGGTCCGTGGATGGTGACAGCCATCACTGCATATATGTGCGTGCATCTTGTTCGAGCGCTGTGTTTGCCATGCTCTTGTTTTTCCCCATGCCCCTCCTCTGCCAATCATTGTGTGTGATCTGTAGGCAGCTAGAGGTCTGTGGTAATCGGGATCTTCTCTTATTTTCGCATATGCTTTTATCTACTCATTCCCTCTTCTTTCTTGCTCTCTACACTTTGTTTGTCTGTTTGCATGTTAAGTCAGTAGCATTAGGTTCTCTCACACACACTCCCCTTCATCTTACTATGTATCTCAACACTCATCTTCCTTTCTCCCGTCCCCTAACCCAAGGAGATGTGCCCTGGGCAGTGACAGTGAAATGACAAATATCACATGAATCACACACATCACAGCTTTGATTATGTAACTGACTTCTCTAGAGGTTTCACTTTGACTACTGTAGGAAACTCAAAATGACTACATTGATACAGCAGAAAATACAATTGTCAGTGTTGTTGTATACTGCTACATGTGGTTATTTTCACACAATTTGGTTATTAACAAGTTGCTAAATAATTTTTAACCAATATCCTCCCCTTAAATGTTCTGGACAACAGTAAAGTGAGCTCAGTAAACCTTGCTGTGTGTAGAGAACCACACTGGAAATCTTGTCTGTCATGTCGTACAGTAAGTGCGTTTTCTTTTAGGGTTCTGGTAATAGCGATGGAGATATGAGCTGCGTGACTTCTGAAGGTTTTGAATCCAGTTGCTATTGTTCCCTGGAGCAATAGCAACTGGATTTTTGTGGTCTGGGTGAGACCCAAACATTGCACTCTACACTTAAATATGAAAAGAAAATTAGATATAAGAAAGAAGCCTTCAGAGTTGCCATCCATTAATCAAGATTGGAGGGATAAACCTGCACTGCTGCTGGACATGTTTCTTATAAGTCTTGCGGGTGTTGTGTAGGTTCCCATGTTTGATTATTTATTTCAGTCACTGTTACGACTGTTATCACAGCTATCACAAGAATAAAAAAAAAAATTGTCTTTGGTTTCTTGTTCATAGCAACCGTATCTGAACGACAATAAAACAGTAAAAATGTTAGTAAATCCCAAATACTGACTGGGTAAATGTACCTCATGAGTGACTATGATTATATATCTCACTGGTACAACAATTTACCACTTAACAGACCAGAAATTGACGCATGCGTTCTTTAAAACATTCACTTCACACAGTTTAGCTTTGCAACCACATGCATACACATTCACTTAATGAAGCACTTGGCTATCTTCTGTATGACAGTTAAACCCAGGAATGTTATGATGGAAAGGTCAAGGTTTGCCATTCCGAGACAGCACTGTAGATCTGCTTGTTAAGCTGTGATGTAACAAATACTGTTTCCGGGACCAAGCCTCCACTCCATTTCAGTTGAAAATACTATCCCAATAGCCGTTAATGAGGACTATTTATTTTATTTAAGTTAAGCTTTTATAAACTCGCAG